ACATAAACTTAAAATTGCAGAATGTTCCATAATTTTTTTTAACTTAAGAATACAAATTACTGGATCAAAACGCACTTTTCCCCCAAACTTTTGCAAAGGTTCTCTACGATTTAGAATAATTGGAGCAATAAAATAATTATTAATTTTTTTTTAAATTTACTTTTTTAAATTGAACAAAATTCAATTATCTCTTTCTACCTTTTTGTGGCAGATATACTTAAACGAATCCCTTTTCTGCGCGTCATCTTTCCCTTCTGCAGCAACTTTTCCCCCTGACAAGATTGAATTTGTTCGAAAGTGATGAGGTATGAACGTGAATCACATTTTTTTACCATACTTTGGCGAGCGGGCAAAGGCAAACTTTGATTTGTTCGCGCCGAGGTCGCCGGTCGGTCACTCACTCATGTCCAATAAACTCAATAACTCGCATTCACGCGAGTGTCAAAAGTTGCCGGACGGGGTGGAAAGAAAGTAAAAAAAGGTGCACTGGCCGGAGGCGACGCGTGCACCGAAAATCCGATATATATCTCTGCAGGAAATAATAAAAATAGTGACATCTTTTCTCCGTCTGCGCACCGCGGCGTGAAGTTAGATATCACATTTTGGGCCCGGCTGTATAAAGAAAAAGAAAGAAACCAATTATCTCGTGTTCAAACACCGTGAAGAGCAAAGGAAAATATTGTCTCTGTTTGCAGAGGGGGTCCAAATCTTGAGAAATCTCTCTCTCCAAAGCAGTTATTTTTCTCCACCTTTTCCAGAGCTAGAGTGACCTGTTATCTGCTTTTATTAGTTTCCGGCCGGCGATCAATTTATATACTTAAAGGGGACCGCTCTCCAAAAAAGATTCTCAAAACAATCTCTGTACAAAAACACATAAATCTGGAGCAGATCGATTTGGCACTCTCGGCTCAATTTCTTTCTGCCTTCCCCTGTATAGCCCGAGCTTAATTAAATAAGGCTGCGTGCGGCTCTTAAGGTGACTTGTGAGTAACGAAAGAGCGATAAAATTAATTCCCGACTAGCGTTCGGCGCCAAAAGGCTCGACGGCAGTAATTTTGTGGCCGCTTTTGTTTATGGGGGTGTCTGTTGCAGGCGCTCGGCTCGCACAGGCCAGCATCACAGAGAGAGAGCAAAGGGCTTTGCTGAGCTGCGAGAGTCGAGCGCAGCTAGGGCGACAAAACAAGGGCCAAATGTCGGTGTCAGCCGCGCTAATTCACGGACACAATGCACTCGGTGCCCATACATACACACACACGGCTGCAGAGAGAGACACCTATAATGTCACACCAAAGGCGACAGACACACTTCTAAACAGCATAAATTCCACCAGCAGGCAGGCCACTTTGGATTAAACGGCAGGGAGACGCTAATCGGTTGACAAGAATTATATACAGCAGGTGAACTTTCATTTGATTTAAAAAAATCGCTTTGTAACATAACCAAAACATTAAAAGATTTCAAATCTCTTTATAGTTGCTTTTTTTATATCATTTGTCAGAAAAAAATCAACAATCTATGCGTCACTATGTGTTAATTTAATTTAACAGCAAAGATAAATTTTAAAGCATAACAAATTTTTATTCATTACATTTTTGTGTTTCTTTTTTAAAATTTAAAATTTTATTTATTTATTATAAATTAAATAAAATAAAAACCATATGGATCATTTTCTTGCAACACTATATTAAATCAAAATATAATCTGATTATTAAATATTTGCTTATATATTTTTTATAAATAAAAGTCACGGTAACTGGGGTGATAATGAAATTTACATTACTCAACACTAACTTTTCCTCACTCTCAATTTCAATGTGGTTGGTATTATAGAAGCAAATGTTAAAAATACAACTAGTGAATTAGTGATGGAAACCTGATTTATGGATAGTCTCTTATAATTTAAATATCCAATTAAGATTTTTTTCTATTCTCTGTTTGTTAGTCCACAGTCTAAACCTTAAAATGACCAGCAGTGCACACACTCGTATTTTTTATTATTATTTTCATTTCGACCCCAAATCGTCTTTTATTGCGTCCAGAGATCAAACAATCTGGCCAAGGGGGAGGGTTACGGAGGGTGTCGTTACACCAGCTAATTGCAAATCCCCATCCGTTTGGCACCGACGAAATTTCATTTCGCCACCGTGTGGCCGTAAAAAGGAGAGGAGCAAATATTTTCGCACACACATACGCACTCTGGTATACACACAGTGAAAAGAACAAAAAGCTGCTGGGCGCAAATTAAATTTGCTGCGCTCTCGGCTGCTTTTTATTACAACGGGGCGGCGCGCATTATCAAGTTTTTTCATCATCGCGCGCCCTGCTTTTTAATGAATCTCACCTACACGGCCCACCGCGATAATGTAATTAGATATAACCGCGCCGTTTCGTTAAAAAATATGGAGATTTTTTTAAATAAAGTCAGAATTTCCATTGGTGCGAAGCATAAATTTATGTATAATTATTAAAGGTGATTACGCGAGTCATTGTGACGAATTAATCTCCGGCCCACGTGCATCCTCCCAGCCGAAACAATTACAATTGTTTCAAACCAGCTGCCATCGTCCACCTTTCCTTTCGGCGCGGGGGCCACGAAAGCCAGCTGTGCGACGTGAGCTTTCAATGGATTCGTTTGTGCAGCGCCTGCCATGGCCGGCGCAGCCAGTTTTCGGCTCGGGTGCTCTTTACTTTTTTTTGTTACAGAAGAGGGAACGAAATTAGTCAGCTATTACACCTCTCGAAATAGAAATATACGCCAGGAATTAATGCCGAATTTATACCACACCTGGATTTTTCCCCGAATCCGACGAGAAGCAGCTGAATTTTGTAATGTTGTGATGTGTCATTGTGATAATATAGACCCACAACAAAACCATCAATGACCCTGGTTGATTCATAATTTTATATTTCCAAGTTTTCCTCCACATTTTATGATTCACGCAGGTTTACTACTTTCATTATTTTGCTTTTTACGTTAAAAAATTAAATTAAAAGTCATCAACTGACGAAAGGGCCACTTATTGTTAGCAGTTTTAATTCAAATATTGTTTATTCCTTTTTTTATTTCAATATAAATTTTTTAAACCAAAATCAACATACTTTAATTCATATTTTGCCACTCTCCCCTTTTTACGATCCCCAAAGCAAAAACCGCCATTAACATACACCAAAAATATGCGAAATTTGCATAAAAGTGTTAAAAACTTTACGCCCTGCGCAGTCGTAAAAAGAATGCAGCAGTCTCTTTTTCGTCAGCAGTCCATCAGGATTTCCAAACAAAGCACCTCTGCGGAGCCGAATTTAAAATTCGACGCCAAATGCAAATGGCCTCGTGTGCGTGATGATCAATTGGCCGATGTGCGCGAAATATAAATTAATTCCCAACACGTCCCGATCGTAAACGTGGATCACACTATATGTATGTAATTTCATTTTGCATGTCAGCGCGACGAATTAAAATTTCACTTGCGATGCCTAAAGGGGGGTGACGCATGCGACGAATCTATAAAATAATTTTTTCCCAGCAGATTGATTGATTGACCGTCCGCTGGGCGCGTGAATGAATCAATTCCGAGAGACTGGACAAGCAACTTCCTCCCTGATACAATAATTTTATGACTCATTAGCTCGTCGAATGGACTCGAAACGACTTTGACATCAATTTTATGAACGATGACGGTCTCCAGCCGCGACCAGAAATTGAATTTTTCAAGGTCGAAAGTTCGTTCCTTCACGCTTTTATATAATATTCCTTTTGGTTCTTTTTCTTCTGTGTAATGGCCTTTTCACTCTCTATGTAGCAGTTAATTGAATAAGTTTAAGTGGGCTCTTTCTTTCTCTCTCTTTTCTGATTATTTTCTTTCTTTCTTTCTTTCCTTCTCCCTTTTAGATACTCCATGCAAGCAGAGCTCTCGCAGCAATAGAATTTAATTTAATCTTCGACGAGAGCATTTGCAGGGAAAAAAGTAGAAACGCGCGCAAACCTTTTGAAACCAGGTGCTCTTTAATAAGGCTGATTGCATCATCCGACAGAAAAACACCATTCGGATTAATTAAATGCGGTCAAAGCCGAGTCAGAGCGTGTTTAATCAACCTTTGGAATGGAATGTTTCTGACGCTTTATACATTTCATTTCACTGATAAGAAGCTTTTGTGAAGAAAGAACCGTGGAAAGACAAAGACATTAATAAATTGGATAATAAAATGCAGAGGGACAAAAAGATAACTTATATTTTTTACATCCATTTTTCATTTTACTTGTTGAATTATTTAAAAAAAAAAAACGAAAAACTTGAGAATTATTTTAGATTTAATTTTTTTATTTTTCTATATATATATTATAGTCCATCTTTCAAATAATCAATGAACACATTTTTTTGCTCATTAAGTGTTTTTTTATATTTTATACATAAAATTCGACTCTCGAACTACACTTTTTGAGAGCCAATTTTTCTCCATCCTAATAAATTTGTCGCAGCCGAAATTTGGATGTTGCTGAGCTCGTTAAGTCCAATTTGTTTGAAAAGCAATTAAACTAATGGCGTCGCCCGTGGCTGGCGCCGCGCACTGCGTATCCAATAATTTTTTCCCCGTCGGACGGGTATGATTATTTATGACTTACATTCGAAACAACCCGCGACAAAGTACTTTTTTACAGCCGGGTGGATGTTGCCCATGCATGCATCTGCCCCTCGCCGAATAAAAAAGGATAGTATAAATATTTCGTTATTTCTTTTCTCTCTCATATGATTTCATGATGCTTTTAACAATTGCCAGAGCTTGACTCTGCACGAATAACATTCGAGACGCGCAGAGAGAAAAAGAGAGCCGAGCCAAAAGTAATGATCGTCATCATCATCAGCTCGCAGATAGAATTTCCTCCAGGCTGTTATTTTTAAGATCGTATAACCCCTTTCTTCTCTATCTCTTGTTCTTTCTTTTCTTTCGCACCACCCATGATTACACGCGCGGTTCAAGAGAATAATCCAAAAAGAACTCACCCAATTTGTGCTGCTGGCGATGGGCTGGTGTTGAGGAAAAAAATAATAATCCAAAAGGCGCGATGATCACCGACACTGACGATGCATTCACCGGAGCTGCCAACACACAGAGAGAAAGAAAAGCGAATTCAATTATTCTGCACGCCACTTTGATGGAAAGTGAGGAGAAAAAAGCAGAGGGATCCGCAAATTGATTGCTGCATGATTCTTCCGTTCGAGAAAGAAAGATAAAGCGGCAAAGAAGAGGAGCGACGAGGCTTTTAATCCAAAAGAATGATGCCGACAGACCCGGCGGACGAAGGTTGTAAAATTTGCTTCGTGCGGGAAAAGTGTAAGTGATAAATTGCGCGTTTTAAGTGTTAAAGGTGCTTCTGAACTGATTTGAGACTGGCATTTATGGTTTAAGAGACCTAACTTTTTCACTGGAGTGAACTAACTTTTCTTCAATCAACCCCGTTGTGCTTAACTAACAATTTACTCTCCATATGTTTTTTAATGTTTTGTGTATTTATTTATTATGCAACTATAAAGCCATTTCCTATTCAGAAAACAGAAAAAAATACTCTTGATTTAATTATAATTCATAATTATTCCCTTTCAGAATTCAATCAAGAATGAATCGTGTATTATTTAATTTATGAAGATGAGAGATAAGGTATAATAAGTAATTTAATTCTGAGATATTATTTAAAAACTTTTAAATGATGTTGGTTTATTTCTCTTTCTTACATTGAAAATAAATTAAAACAGCATTCTTCACTTGAACTGGGCAGGTGTATCAACTCTCCCTGTTTATATCTTGTAGATTAAGACGCAAATTTTTTTAGAATTTTAGAAATAATTTCACTTTTTTTCTTCAAATTTTCACTAATGAACAATAATTTATTATAACTTATTGTATAAGTTGCCATAAAAAATTGATTTTTTTTCCAAAATTGTTTGTAAACAATTTTCAACGAAACGAAACGCATCGCATGCTTGATTTAACAATCCGCTATTACAATTAATACCCCTGTTAAGGACACCCATTTTGGGATAGTTTCCAATTTCAAACTTATCCCTGCACCATCTAACCCTTTTGTGTTCCGAAACCTCGCCACCCCCGCACATTTGGCATGTAATTATCAATGCAAGCAGAGCGGCATTAATAACTAACTGGCTTGTTCTAGGAGCGGCAGAGCACAATCTTAATACGCTCTAGTGTGTGATGTGGCTTTTGCGGCGCGTTCAGCAAAGAAATTTCCCAGATGCAGTTTAGATTAGCATCAGAATGCAATTACGGGGCGGCTGCTGCTCCGAAATTCCCACACCACGCCCTCCCCTCTCAAGGGCACAACATCGTGTTGGGGTGGCCAATATAGCTCTTCTTGCATCTCGACTTTTTCGAGGAAAGGAAATGAAAATTGGTGCGGTGCATTTGCCGCGATTATGTTCGACGCAGTTCATTATTTAAATTGTCCCACCGTAAGTTTCGAATAATGTAATGAGCGCATAATAAACATGGGCAGCTGCTCCTCATAGTTTTATTGCTCTGGTGTTACAGAGAGACAGACCTACTCTGTTACACATTCGGAAACGCCCATCCTTCAACCCGGACCCACCCGCATTCAGTTTCGGTAAATATATAAATAATGGATCGCGCCGTCACAAAATAATTTACATGAATCAAATATGCGCCCCGTGTGTTGTGTGCAGGATCAAAAGAGTACAGCCGAGGGCCGCATCAAAAGTGTAGTGTTTATTGTGTGAAAGAAGCAGTTCCTTTATCAATGGCGGCCCAGTGTGTGCGCCGAGAGCACAAAAAGGGGTCTTGTTTACTTACTTTGGCCGATGAGGGAACTTTAGTACTTTTATAACGACAGGCCTTGCAAAAAGCACTCGATTGACTTAATGAATCAACGGCTATCTAAGTTAAAAGTGGTTAAAACGGACTAAAAACTTGAACTGTGTAGAAATTAACTTGAAAGTTTTAATCAGCCTGACATTTTAAAATTAATTTTAAAATTTAAAAAGTATGAATTTCAACAAAGTTTTTTCATTATTTAGGATAGGATTGTTTTAATTGTTACGTTTTTCAACTCCTATATTATGAAAGGCTTAAAATTAAATAATTTTTTTAAATGAAATTAGCCGGAAAAGGTTCAAGAGTCTAAGTAGGCCTGTTAGAATGAAAAACTGATACTTAAAGCTTATCCCCAGAATAAAAATAAGAGTAAATTTTAACTGAATATACGAAATAATAAATGAATGAAATAAAAATAAATAAAACCCTTGATGCATTATTCTATTAATGTATTTTTAAATTACGAAATAACTTTGATAATTCAAATTTAAACCCTATTTTATTTGAAGATGAGGCATATGTTTTCAGAAGTTCCTTGATCATTTCAATGTATCATAAATTTAATCTGACGGCAACATTTCACCCTTTTCCGAGAAATCAGCTTTGCGATTGTCAAAATTTGGTTGCCCCCCACACATGTTAGGGTAATATTTGCAGGTTGCGGTTGCTTTTTCGTTGTCAAAATTTGGCCGATGAATTTGATCAAAGCCTTCTGACGTCAGTCTGGCCAAGCGCATTCTGCGGCAAAACCAGAGGCGATTCCCCCGAGGCAAAATTAATAAACTGCCGCGCCAGGCGGAAAAACAACACAAAGAGCCTTCTTTGCTTTGCTCGCTCACTGCTCACTCGTTCACGCTCTGAAAGTGACGCAGCTCCAAATTAATCAGAAAAAAAGGGAAAAACAGAGCGCGGCATAGTGTCGTGGGAAAGACGAATCGCCGGTCGGGATTTTCTTGTTTTTCGAAAGAGAATGTTTATTTGTGGCCCATAAAAAGGTGCCGGTAAACAAGAAGGCAAACGCAGGTTGCGCTGTCGCGGTTGGAACAAAAACGCGAACCGTGTGTTGTGGCTCGAAACCTCAGACAGACAATAAAAGAAAATATTTTGACTGCATGTTTGAAGAGGAATGTCCAGAACTTGTTTACCTCTTGTCTCAAAAAAAAAGAACAAATTTACTACAAATTTTCTTCATTGGAGAAAAAATATTAGACCAAAAGCAGCTTATTTAACTGATTTAAACCCACAGAGTTTTTTTTTAAACCGCATCTTTAAATACGAAAAAAAATTCTTGTTAAAGCAGAGCGCAAAACATTTGTATTGAATTTATATACTTTTTTTTAAATAATGCTTTAATTAGTCTTCAATTTTAAAGTTGTCAACTAACAACTTTAACTCACTGGTGATAAAAAAAATACTCATTTAGAAAAACTTGATCATGCACTTTTAAAAAAAATAAGTTATTTACAAAAGCTGAGCTGATACCAAAGGTTGAAACGTTTTGAAATTTTAATTATTTGGTTGTCTTTCCTTACTAATTATCCTATTTGAAGTTCGGTCAGCTGATATTTTTAACAATTTTTAGCCATTCTTAAAATAAATAATTTTTTTATTCAGTTTTGTGCAATTTAGAAATACTTGATGTCAGAATGATTTTGAGTCACTTATAAGCAAAATCTTTATTAGAGGCTAAAAATTTATATCTTTTCAATTCTTTTGTGTGTTATCTATGCAATTTTCAGACGTGAATCAACAATGACACCAGAGAAGTTTCTTCGCCAATTTTGAAGTTGAACCTCTCAGATTTTCATCAGGTGGTGTATTTTTCTGAGAAGAACGCTCGGAGCGAACAATAAAAAGAGCAAGAGGAGAGAAACTAGTGGGAGGCGAACCGGTCGGTCGGTCTTTCTTTCTTTTCCTCGGCAGGTACAGCGATTTTAATGGCGGCGCGCTCACCTGAGAGCCGACGAAGGTCCGGTTCGCAGGTCGGGCTCGGTAAATCCGCACAGTTTGGCACTGACTCGGGCAATTCGCACTCACTGACTCACTGCATTTGGCTGCGTCGCGACGACAAACACTGAGCAGAAAAATAAGCACTCGCGCACGCTCGCGGCCGGCACGTACGTTTTGCTGGTCGCGAGTCCCGCCGTCGAATGACGAGAGCGTTTCGAGTGCTCGTTGCCTCCTCGCTCAAGCCTCGCTCGGCGCGCCGCGATCAGAGAAGGGAGAGTGCGCGGCGAGCAAGACGTGGCAACCCAGCGGCACAATCGCAACAACACGCCGCGCGGGGGCAGTGACGAATAATTGCGATTACACACGTAGATTACGTATACGTCAGATTGGACGACTTGTTAGACCGACACTAAAAAAGGACATTATTTGGCTCAAGTTCTCAATTAGCCACACTTGAATAAATTAAATCTTCAATTTAAACTTTGATGTTAAAAAAATTATTTTTAATTTACAAATTAATTTTCTTTAATATAAATTATTTCATTATTAATTGATTGTTTTAGTTCATTACATTTTTCATTTTAGCGAAAAAAGTAAATAATTATAACCCTTAATTAAAACATTCGAAATCATTAAAAAATCTCAAAAAATATAGCACAAGGTGTTTTCAAATTTACACTTTACTGCTGATCTCTCGAACAATTTTTTGTGTAATTTTTCATGGTCCAAAAATTCAACAATAGTTGAAAAATTCTTTCTATACTACTTTCCAGCATCTTCGAATATTTATTATTTTTAGAACTGTTCATAAAATCCTGATCTTTCTGATCAGTCAATTAATAAAAATTCTCTTTTATTAAAGTGTATAATTCAAATGGCATTTTCAGCATAATATTTTAAAACGTTTTCCAATAAAATTAATGTTATGTGTGTTAAGGTCAATCCAATAATGTATTTTTATGTCCATACAATTGGGATGATGAAGTTGATGTGGTGAAATTTTAGATAAATATGTAATAATATTTAAAAATGGTTTTAAGAAATAGAAGTAAAAATTCAGTTTTTAAGGGCAATCAGAGAATTCAACACGAGTTATTTTATCTTATTAATGCATTTCAAAAGAAATAAAATAAAGGAATAATAAAAGAAATTACCTTGGAAAATTTTACCCATGAAACATGCTGTGCAAAAAGTCCTTGTTCACAATTATTGATTATTCCACTTGATATTCCCGCATGCTGCGCGCATGCAACGCTCTCATTGTAAAATTACTCAATTCATTCTTATTATCTACTATCTACTTAGCATGTTAAAAGTGATGTCATGTACAGTGACGATATAGAGTGATCGCGCACCAAATGAAGCCGCCGTACATTATTATTCGCTTTATTATTACACCCGCCAATAAAACGATCCGAAGTGGCACTTTTCTGTTTCACTGCCCTCGCGTACGTCGCTAGAGAACAACGTACTATAGAGACGATGTGTGTTAGCAAAGCATACACGCAGCACTGCTTGTGTGTGTGCAAATACTTTGCCTATTGAGAATTGTACCGAGTATATATTTACATGTATAAGAGTGTGGGACGACCATAGAACACCACGGAGGAAATGCTATTCGCATATATGCCAAGTTATTTTATCCCCCAGCCTGCAATGAGACGTTCGTGCGAGCACAAAACTGCCGTACTTACTTTTTACTTTGCGCACTCATTCATTCCGGCTTTGAATTCATTGCTGCCGAGTGGTATAACAATAATGGTAATAATAATTCAGCAGCTTGAATGCATTTTCAATGCTCTGTATTGTTATGCGATTTGCTTGGATATTGTCACCGGCTGCTCTTGATTCGTCACGCGGATGGCGTGTGCATGCATTAAAAATATGCAATCTTCATTGTTAAGCATGCATGAAGTGCACTTATCAGATGCACATTGTAGGAGCTTTGAAAAAATCAATTAATCGTATTTTAAATTAAAAGTAAAGTATAATATCATTCGTTAATATTTTTGTTATTTTTATTATTTAATTTTTTCTGATTATGAAGAATAATTAAAATTAAACTATTATTATGCAATTCAATTTTACAGTTAAATTATTTTTCATTATTGATATCATTATTTGGAGAAAAGTTTAAAATAATTTTCCTTGTGTAATATTTATTGCTGTTTTTGAATAATACAAAGCTCTTTGTAATATAAATTTAATTAGGGAAGTAAAATAAATTCAAATCTCAGCAGCATAATGCTTGTACTGATGGCGGGTATCTTGTCTTAAAATATATTATACAAATATATATTATAGTTCTTATAGTTTAATCTATGCATATTACAAAAAGTTCAATTTGAAATCTTTTAAATGTCCTGAATATTTGATGTCAGCAGTTGCTAATGAAGTTTTCAAATTTTTTTTTCGTTTACAATTAAGAAAAAAAAATATTTTCAAATTAATCTTCAACAGGACTGCAACTTATTAAAAAAAAAAATCAGGGTCTTTAGAGAAGCGAATATGCCTTTGAGGTCTTCGTGGTGGTGTTAAGAAAGTTGCGGCGAGTTCAACGAGTGCGATAAATCAAGGTTTAAAGACATAATTGAGCGACAAAGGCTGCGGACAGGCCAAAATATGGACTTGGCAGATATTTTTTCCCAATATAGCAGCAGAGATTGGAACGCCAACACTCTTGCATTGAATGGCACGACCGCCGTTTGCCGCTTTTCAAAAAATTTATGTGCTGCGATTCGGTTGAGTTTGAAGCTGCTTTTTGTTCGGCCGCATTCTTGAGCTCTTTTGTCAATGAAAAGCGGCCGATAAAAAATAATATTTCCTACCGAAATGAGGGGATGTCTGTTATTATGTGGTGCTGCCTCTTGATATATCAGCACGCAGCCTTGAATCGAGCCGGAGAGAAAAACGCCGCTACACTTTTTATCCCGCGACCACCCCTCTTTAAAGGAGCTAATATCATATGTGAGATGACGGGGCGGCGGAAAAAAAGAATGAGAAAATCTCCTCGTCGTATAACCCGCTGGCTTGTGGCAGATAAATTCGGGCTGATACGCGTGGAATTGCAAAAATTGCTACGGAATTTATCTAGATTTGGAGGAAAATGCTCCTTTCCTGAAGCGAAAAGAGGGAGGAGGAGACGCGCGAAATCGAGCCGTAAAAAAAGATGAAGACGAGAGATTTTCCCCTGCAAGCACAGCTTCTTATATCACCGGGTCCATTAGTCCGTGGCGTCTGTTCAGAAATTTATTCTTGTACGTTATCTAAAATGATGGGAGACTGATTGTGAGGACAAAATAAAAATTTCAACTAATTATTTTGATAAAAAATATTTAAAATAAACTAAGGCGAGTAATATAATTTTATAAGACCAACTATTGTATGCTAGATATCAATTTAATCGAATTATTATATCCCAATCGATGTTGCAATAAAGTTTATATTTTTTAAAGTACAATTTAATTAAGAGTTTAAAAAATAAAAGAAAGAAAAATTATGCCATATCATTGTCTTTTCTAAACATTAAAATGAATTATTCAAAAACTTTATAAATATAAAAATATAATTATTACACAGTAATTTTAATTTATAATATAAAATAATTAAACAAATAAACATTAATAAAAAATAATAAAAATAATGACAATACATATTTTTTAAAGTAATTAACATATAGGCGCAGTTTGGACTTATCTTTTTACAGAGCTTTTATAAAAAAATTTTAAAGGTTCAACTGTTCTTTTGGCTTTTTGTGTTTCCTTCACTATTCTATTTCGGAAGCATCATTACATCAGGAATCAATAAAGTCATTCAGCAGGATTTTACGCTTCATCGCATTTGCTTTATTTCTACACTGCACGTTCGCTCGTATACATGAGTGCTAATACTATACGTGAAGGAGCCAGGAAAACAGCAGTGAGAGATGGAAAAACAATTTCATTGCTCTCTCCATTCCGTTGTTCATACCAGCACTGATAAATTTTCCCGACGAACGAGCGCGGCTGCATGTAAAAAATCGCATAACCCTCAGCAGCATCTCAGAAACATCCCCTCTGCTCTTCCGAGAGTAACGAAATTGAATTGCCCTACATTTCCGTTGTCTTATCCATCGTCTGCATTTTCTTTCCCAATCTCTGCCAAGCAATAAATATAAATATTACATTATAAAACTACTCCTCCTTTCAGTCAAGGCAAATAACAAAGTTTCGCTAATTGAATCTGTGCTCTTGTTATTGACAAAGGCATAGAAATTGCAACACGCGCGCCAAGAGCGGCGGTGATTACACGAGACGACGAGAAGCTTCAAAACAAAAACATGTACTTCGCCGGAGAGTTTAATGGCAGCCGCGCCATCAAATGCACATCGTTTTGCATATGTGGGAGCAACAAAGGCTGCTGATGAGGCGCAACCAGAGAGTGCTGCGCTGATATTTCGAAAAACACACACTCGTGTGCCTTTGGCTCTTGGCGTGTGTGTGTGCATCACTCTATGCAATCTTCTAATGTTTGCTGCATCTCTGCAGAGAAGATAGCTGGGATGCTGCTCGTACATAGCCGGGAGAGCTGCGAGTATTTATGAGTTCGAGCAACACCCAACCGTCCCTCCATGCACTCCGAAATCTATATAGATCCATCCCTAAACAGCAACATGCAGGGTCGGACTGGGAAAAGATGAGTAAAAAAAAGATCAATGCATTTTTTAAAGGTAGCAAAAGCATACAGATGAATTAATATTACTTATACAATTTGAAAAAGTTTTATATAAATTACTACAAACTGACATCGAGTTTAAAAAAATTAAGACTGCACTAGTGCTATAATTTTAATAATGACAACTGGATTTACAGTTTTAAATTTCAAGATTAAAATTGACAATATTTGAACTCTTTTTTTTTAATTTTCAGAGCGCCGAATCAATAAAAATCAGAAAATCCTGATATTACTCATTTGGAAGTTCAATTTCAAGTTCATTTTTTAATGCTGTTTTAATGGATAATATAATTAGTCTTAAAAAAATACAATATTTTAGAAGAATATATGCTTAAAATTCAAAATTAATCTTATTTAAAATTATATTTTGAAAATTACATTTTTCACATTTATTTATTAAGCCCATCTGGGTACAAATTTAGATACATTACTTATAAAAAAATTATTATAGTAATCATGAGCAAAAGTGACCTTTACATTTGTTTACCAGCAAATTTGACCCTCTATTA